CACGGCTCTCCTTGACTCTACATTCACTCATCAGGGTACCGTTTCATGCCTCAAAAATCTCTCTTATTCAGACCTTAGGGTTTTGTAAGGTAAATCGCAGAGTTAATGGAAAGGATTACAAGATGTACATTTAAAGCTATTCTGCCACAACTGTGCTCTGATGTCTATCCTTGGTCAGGACTTCAGAAGCTGCATGGTAGTGTCACCTTACATATGGAGGTGAAAACTGCCTCCTCTTGTATGTCTGTGGACTTAGCACTTTAAGGGTAGACCCACCAAAGCTGTTTGCAAATTACGGGATTGCCATTCCTATATCAGCTAAGTCACGCCGCTTTTTCTTATGAGGATCGGATGTTTCATTGAGAAAGAAACTCAGAGGCTGCCTGAAGGAGGGTATTTATAGAACCGAGTGATTCCCCTTGGGCGTGCACAGGTTGTTGTTGTTAAAAGATGAGATATGAGGAAACGGAGACGGGCTATCGATTTTACTTGAGACAATCAACAAATTTACACTTCTTGATGGGTACCCTCTACTCGAAATGACGATACAGTGAACAAAATTGCATCAGTACTACGGTTTAGCAGCAATTGATGTGCAGCATAGTGCCTTTCATCAAGTCCCTTAAGGAATGAAGATAAACCATAACACAGCGTTTTCAGGCAAGTGATGGCCTGTATCAATTTACCTGAGTCCCTTTTGGAGTCACCAATGGGGGTGCACTGTTCCAAACGAAATTATGGATTATTTTTTCACTCATTCAGGAAGAGCAAACTCATGGGAACTTACGCGTATTTAGATAATGTTCCATTTGTGCGCAAGGACCCAGGAGGAACATGATGCAAACCTTGATAAGTTTTGAAGCCCGCCAAGAAGGGAAAAAAATATCAAGTTACAATGAGGAAAAGTGCACTTTTTCAACTAAAGGCTTGCATCTTGGTTATGTAGTGGAAGGAGGTTCAATATTCCCAGACCCTGAACGGGCTACGACACTCTGAAAAAATTACGGGGAAACTTCCCAAGCCTCAAGACAAAAAAGTCACTCCGAAGAACTCTTGGGTCTCTTTGCTTTATTACTCCACAATGGATCTACAAACTATTCAAGTAAAGTCCGCCCATTGAGTGCTACCACATTTCCTGTGACAAAGGAAGCAGAAGCGCTTTCCATACTCTCAAAAAGGGACATTGAAAAATCAGTAGTTCAAGCCATGATGAGTCCCTACCATTCGAAGTGGGTGGAAACGGATGCATTGACAATTGCCATTGCTGCAGTCTTATCTCAGGCAGGACGGGACCAGTAGCCTTTTTTCAAGAACTTTTCAAGGATCAGAGAAATGTTATGCTGCTGGTTAGAAAAGGAAGCAAGGCCATCATAGAAGCAGTTTCGCCACTGGAAGGCAATTATTTAACTGGTAGACAATTTCACCATAAGGACTGACCTACGGTCGTGATGTATATGTTCGACAAGAGGGCACAAAAGTAGGATAAAGAATGACAAGATATTACGCTGGAGGATGAACTATCGGGTTATGACTTTGATTTCTGAACCGAACCGGAAAGAGAACATCTCACCTGATGCATTCTCTAGGTTCCCACTGCTGGAGCAGCATGTCATGATTTGCAATCACTCTCCAGCTATCCACAAGCTTTGTGTCACCCAGGAGTTACACGCCTGTACCTTTTTGTCCAAATCATAAAGAACATGCCCTACTCAGTGGAAGATGGTGCGACAAGTGATCAGAGCATGCAGAGTATGTGCAGAGTGCAAGCAAACTTTCATCAGCCAGAGAGAAGGTCTCATCTCATGAAAATCACCCTGCCTATTCGAAGAGATGAATATGATTCAAAGGACCTCTACCTAGCACAAATCAGAAATTGGTTTTCCTTAAATAGTAGATGAATATTCAAGGTTTCCCTTTGATTCCCCTGTCTAATATGGCTGCTCAACTGTTATTAGTTGTCATTTCACAGTTTGTTTTCTTTTTTTGGTTATGCCAGTTTATATCATTCAGACAGGGGATCTCGTTCATGAGAAACGAACTTCAGGAGTTTTTGGTAGCAAAGGTATTGCCTGCAGCAGAACAACAGCTACAACCCTCAAGGCATGGTCAGTTTGGAGCGGTTCAATGGTTTACTATATGGATGGCAGTTACAATGACATTAAGTCGCCGCAATCTACCTGTTCAAACTGGCAAAACTGTCCTACCTGATGCTCTTCACTTCTTTAGATCACTTGCTCGTGCACAGCTTACTATGCAACCCTCATGAACGACCCCTCAACTATTCACCGTCGTTCCTATTTTTTACGGGAGCTCCGTGCCCACTTGGTTATGTCATCTGGACCCGTTCTCACTGAAGAGTCACCGTAGGATGACAGACGGATCCTTTTGTGGAAGAGGTAGAGGCTCCTGCAAGATAATCCACATTACGCCCACATTCGCTCAGAAAATGGTGAAGAGACTACAGATATCTACAAAGACATTAGCCCCAGTTGAAATCCTATTAGTGTGGAATCTCAAGATGCACCATTAGATGTGATAGACTGCTTGTTTTCTCCTGGATAAGCCCCTTGAGACTCCCTATGGAAATAGTGGATTCTGCTCCAGCAGTTATTCAAACCCGTGGAAAAATATCGAACCTGGTGAAGAGGCTCAAGGGCTTACGTAGTGCGGGACGTGTACGTCGCCCCCATCCTAACAGTTTGGAGATTACTGTCTCTGAGATTTTAGATGGGGGTGATTGGAGTGATATGGTCCTGTGGGGAGCAGCAGCAGGATAATACTGCACCACCTCTCGTGGCCCTTAACAACAACAACAGTTTGGTGTGTGTCATGGGCCCCAACACATGGTGTGTGATTCTCTCCTACTATATCCATTATCAGTGATGCAGATTACATGGTGAGTTTAAATATGTGGCCTGTAGTTATAACTTTTCTCTTGACATATGCAAGACATCACCATCCCTGTAGAAGCCGTTATTAGATGTACTAGTCATTATATTTTGTTGTTGCAGAAGTATATGAAGATTCTATGTTCAATAAAGCTAGATAAGGCTGTTTATGTTCAAACACATGTAAAGTCAGGCTATACAGCAGCAGTGCAAGTGAATACTGTGCAGTGAGTGATTACATGAGCAGTACAAGTGAATATAAATGTAGAAGTGCAAGTGAATATACATGCAGCAGTGCAAGTGAATATACATGAAGCAGTACAAGTGAATATACGTGTAGCAGTACAAGTGAATATACATGTAGCAGTACAAGTGAATATACATGTAGCAGTGCAAGTGAATATACATGAAGCAGTACATGATTACTGTGAGAAGTGCAAGTGAAATAGCAGTAGTGCAAGTGAATATACATGAAGCAGTACAAGTGAATATACGTGTAGCAGTACAAGTGAATATACATGTAGCAGTACAAGTGAATATACATGTAGCAGTACAAGTGAATATACATGTAGCAGTGCAAGGGAATATACATGTAGCAGTGCAAGTGAATATACATGTAGCAGTGCAAGTGAATATACATGTAGCAGTACAAGTGAATATACATGTAGCAGTGCAAGGGAATATACATGTAGCAGTACAAGTGAATATACATGTAGCAGTGCAAGGGAATATACATGTAGCAGTGCAAGGGAATATACATGTAGCAGTGCAAGTGAATATACATGTAGCAGTACAAGTGAATATACATGTAGCAGTACAAGTGAATATACATGTAGCAGTGCAAGGGAATATACATGTAGCAGTGCAAGTGAATATACATGTGCAGTGCAAGTGAATTACATGTAGCAGTACAAGTGAATATACATGTAGCAGTGCAAGGGAATATACATGTAGCAGTACAAGTGAATATACATGTAGCAGTGGAAGGGAATATACATGTAGCAGAGCAAGTTTTTACCGAGACAAAATTTTGTTAGAAATCATTATTGAGACAAGGTTTTCTCTGAAGTCAGGTCCATAAAGAAAACCTTTGACTCTAAGGGTAACTTTATTAAAATGTCCTTAGAGCAGATCATTGCTCACATAAAGGCTCATTATGCTACATTCCTCTTGTTTTTATTCGTGTCAGCAGTGTGCCTTTTAAAATTGTGAAAATGGTGTTAGAATGTAATGCTGTATTAAGTGTAGTTGACAAGAACTAACACAGTTTTATTTCAGATTATTACAATATTTGTATCCAACAGGTTCGTGCTTTCTGGGACTCACTGCCAACTCAACAGAACTTGTTGCTTCACTCAGAAAATTTAATAGTTACAAAAGATAATGCTGAACCTGTTGAAGCGAGTAAAGATTTGGATCATAAGATACACTTTCAAATGGAAAATAAACCAAGCAGTTCTGCTGCTCACAGTGAGTTGTAGCGCTGATATGATGAAAATAAAGAAATATTGACTATTAATTATTGATGGAATACTGACGGCACCAACCAGATATGGAATTATTTATTTGGTAAATTTATCATGCATGCCATGTTGTAAAGTCAATAATAGTTCACAGAACCATACTGTAACCAGGTACTGAGAGAAGTTTTTTTTTTTGGGGGGGGGGAAGGGTAGGGTGCTAACTAAACAAGTTACAGCAGTATATGTACCAATGATATGTAGATTTCTCTTATCTCACATTAGTTTAAGTTCCTTCTCACTATATGCTCGGGTCTAGGATAGTTCATTAATGTCTTACAAAGTCTAGCAGATACATACATTTATGACAAGTCTGTCTTAGCCTCTGATACTTACCTTACCTTCCATTCAGAAAATAGGTTATTTAGACCATTATCATATAAAAATAATTATATATTCAGTGGATAACTATTTACAGCATTTACATACAGCAAGTAGTTTGGCCCAACCTTCACAACATGTAGTATATAACCTTCTAGTGTAGGACTCAGCCATTCCACCACATGTGTACCTAGTCATGTGGTCCCATCTGAAAATAATTACTTCTTACTTGCCACAACCCGACGCTGAGACATACTCTACTGATGCCACAATGACTTCACGACCACATCAGCAGCTGGGACAACAAGTGTCCGAAGACTCAAGAGGACGTCAGCTTACCAAGATGTTACCACAGCTCCAGAAAGAGGATGACTACCGACCCTACCCTCCTCGGGGAACCACAGCAAGACTGAAGATGAAGGATGTCGTCCAACCGGAGGAATCATTACAACACATCCGTGCAGGAAGGAAGCAAGATGATCGACAACCCCCCACTGGGGCGCCGACGCATTGTCACTATTTGGAAAAGACCCGTGCTGGGATAGTACCGACCCGGGTCTTACTGTTGCAATATTAAACCAGGAAAATCACATCTTGCCCAGAAATAGGAGAGTAGCTACATCCAGTCTGGTCAACACAATAATGGAGAATGAGCCAACCATTCCCCAGCACTTATACCCACAACAAACCACAGTGCATCACTGCACAATATTTCTTAACTAATTTATTAATACTCTATTTCTCACCCATAACTCTTTAACTTGTCTTATACTTTTAAAATACTGTTGTTACAAAATAATTATTATAATTATGTGTGTTGTTTATAACTGAACCTATTTTTATTGACGTGCAGAGTTAAAACATTTTCTGAATCTCCCCATAAGAGTGATCAATTCTAATGACAGAATTAAGTTAGTTGTACCACTAATATATATTATATATATATATATATATATATATATATATATATATATATATATATATATATATATAATATATATATATATATATATATATATATATATATAGAGAGAGAGAGAGAGAGAGAGAGAGAGAGAGAGAGGAACCACTTCTGGAACTGTCCTGAGGACCTTCATTCTCAGTGAAAAGAATAAACTTGCTTCAGGAAAAACTCAAGGTTCTCCCTGAAGCTTTTTGAAAATTTTCTCCTACCACCCCCTATATTTAATATATATTTTATTTAAAACAAAATACATTGACAAAATGCATAGACAAAAATTCAATAGAGAGTAAATCAACATAGATAGTAATTCAGAGCTACATTTTGAATACTTCATCCAGCTCCCTGGCAGTGGGCCACGTGCCCAGAATGATGCAGGCATTTTCCCTCTGGATCATAATGCTGTCTCTGAAAGAGGAAGCTGGCTGCCCTGGGGTCTTTGGTTTCTATGATGAGTTTTTCACCTAGCTCTTTGAGGAACTTTAGAGCGCACTTGCCCAATGCTCCAAGAGTCTCAGACCCTATTGGGATGAAGTTATAGCAAGGCAGAAGGCCTTCATATTTGTGGGTTTTCTAGGCGTCCCTGTGGCTGGCAGCTCCAGTCCCTTCCACTACGGAGTCTGGCAAGCAGGTGTCCGCCAATGTGGCGGGACAGGTGTAGTCCCAAGCAATCTGCTTTCCATTCTTCTATGGCAGCATAGTCGCTCCATCAGGACGCTTCTGGCTTCTGTCAGACCTCTGCACTTGGGGATCCCAGTGGGCTGGGCAACGGGCTGTGGCGAGGCTTCTCTTAATGATGTCGTTGATCTCCTCATGTCTGGTATACTTCCCTTCTGAAGTATGACACACGAGACCATTAAGTCCGAATTGATCAGCCGTCGCCCTGCCGCGAATACGCTATGTTCGGTGAGGATATGGGTGGCTAGGCGAAGTGTAACACCAATCCGAATGGCCTGTGGGACGAGTCGGGTGCCTAGGAAGGAACCGAGAACAGCTAGAAGGAAATCTGAGTATGGTGCCTTCACCGCTAGAAGACGACTTTTGTACTTTCCTGAAGCGTTGCTGAGCATTATGGTGGCGATTTTTTCTATGATTGGTATGCCCCAGTGGGACTGTTTGTGCTTTTTGGGAGGAGCTGGTTTACTGGAGGAGTCTGCAAGGGTGTCCCACCGCATGGCTGCTCCTACCGGGCCTCTCAAATGTTCGGGGACAATCCTCTTGACTAATCAACTGGAAGCCAAACACCTGCGTTGCTTTGCGCACCCCTATACCTCCCAGTCGCACTGGGAGGGTTGCCTGATTCCATTGCTGATCCTCTAGTGACAGATTCAGTTCCTTCTTAAAGGTTGATCTCAGGTGTGCATCATATTAATCAAGTGTTGGGTTGTCAAAAGAGGGTATGAACCCCAGGAAGTAAGTGAGTCTTTCCATGGTAAGACACCTTGTGATGAGATACAGGGCATCATGTGCATCAAGATCGCATATTCTCTCCACAATTCTTTTCAGGTTATTTAATTTGTCCTTGAGGACAGTGTCGATGGCCTGGTGACCCAGCGGTGCTCCCAAGAAGGTACTGTTGGATGGACTTCCAGGAGGATTGCTCGCACAGCACTGATTATTTCCCGGTTCTTTATGATGATTTCACACTTGGAGGGATTGGCGATGATACAAGGCTTTTTCCCCT